TGGATTTTATTGTCCATACCATTATCAGCATTTGGTCAGAGTCATTCAACAAGTCTCTAGGGAGTTCCAAACTTTCCCATGTTTTCCTGTCTTCTTCTGAGCCTTCCAAATTGTTCCAATCTCTGCCTGTTATCCAGTTCCAAAGTTGCTTCCACATTTTCAGGTATCTTTTCAGCAGTGCCCCACTCCACTGGTACAAATTACTGTATTAATCCATTTTCATGCCGCTGATAAATCCATACCCAAGACTGGTCAGTTTACAAAATAAAGAGCTTTAATTGGACTAACAGTTCCACATGATTGGGGACAACCTCACAATCATGGTGGAAGGCAAGGACAAGCAAGTCACATCTTACATGGACAGCAGCAGGCAAAGAGAGAGAGAGCTTGTGCACAAGTCTTAAAAGCCATCAGATCTCATAAGACTTATTCACTATCATGAGAGCAGCACAAGAAAGACCTGCCCCCATGATTCAATTACCTCCCACTGGGTTCCTCCCACAATATGCGGGAATTCAAGATGAGTTTTGGGTAGGGACACAGCCACACCATGCCAGTCATCGTGATGGGATGCTGTCTTCCTTTCTGCTTTTGCCCCATCCAATGCACCATCATAGAGTGGACATGAGTATGGCTTTATTTGGTCTGTTTGGGCAGCTATGAGAAAATACCATAAATTGAGAAGCTAATAAACAACAGATATCTGTTCCTCATGGTGCTGGAGTCTGGGAAGTCCAAGATCAAGGTGCTGGTAGATTCAGTGTCTGGTGAGGCCACCTTCCTCATAGACAGCAACTTCTGTGTCCTCATGTGGTGCAAGAGGCTAGCTAGTTCTCTTTGGTAATGGCACTCATTTCTTTCATGAAGGTTCCATCCTCATGACCAAGTCACCTCCCAGTGGGCCCACTTCCTATCCAAGCACATGGATGATTAGGGCTCCATATACTGTATAGATTTGGGAGGGAACACAAGCATTCAGATCATAGCACTGTTCCCTTGTCTACAGTCCAGCAACTAACTTAGGTAACTTCATCCCTTTGGATAAATATTCAGACTGTTCAAAATCTAGGTCCTGACATGTATAATGCTTGGTCTTAAAGGGGAAAGTCTCCTACAAGTAGTTTTGGGGACTCCTATCCAAACCTTTCTATTCATCTTCCTCATTGCAAATAGATCCTCCAAGAGAAAGAGGAATTCTAGATGAGTTTTAGGTAGACTCTGCTTCCTGAAGTGTGTAGCAATCTAAATATAGTAGTCCTCTCTTATCTGTGGGGAATATGTTTCAAGACCCCAGGGGATGCCTGAAACCCTGGATAGTATGGAAGCCTATATGTACAGTTGCCCTTGGTATCTGCAGGGAATTGGTTCCAGCATCTCCGGGAGATATCAAAATTCACAGGTGTCCAAAAGTTTCTTGTATAAAATAGTGTAGTATTTGCATATAAATACACCTCCGGTATACTTTCAATCTTCCCTAGATTACTCATTGATATGGCTTGGCTGTGTTCCTACCCAAATCTCATCTTGAATTATTGCTCCCATAATTCCCACATGCTGTGGGAGGGACTTGGTGGGAGATAATTGAATCTTGGGGGTGGTTTCCCCTCTACTGTTCTCATGGTAGCAAGTCCCATGAGATCTGAATGGTTTTATAAAGGGAAAACCCCCATTGCTTGGCTCTCACTTTGCCTTGCCTGCCGCCATGTAAGACATGCCTTTTGCCTTTTGCTATGAATGTGAGGCCTCCCAGCCACGTGAACTGTGAGTCCATTGAGCCTTTTTTTTTTTTTTAGTAAATCGCCCAATCTCAGGTATGTCTTTATCAGCAGTGTGAAAACAGACTAATACACTTACAATACCTAATATGATGTAAATACTATGTACACAGTTATTATACTATACTGGCTTTTTATTTGTATTTTTATTGTATTGTTATTTTTATTATTATTATTTTTAATATTTTCGATTCAAGTTCGGTTGAATTTGCAGATGTGGAACCCATGGACATGGAGGGCTGGCTGTCCTGTGTTCTTTTCCTACATACACAGAGCTATGAAGGAGTTTTATTTATAAATTAAGCACAGGAAGAAATTTAAAACAATAACTAGCAATACAATAGAACAATTACAACAGTATATTGTAATAAAGGTTATGAGAATATGGAAAAAAAATTTATCTTTAAACTCTCCCAGGTAGGGTCTGGGTGGATGAGAGGAAGCTCTTCTTGGTTGGAGGTGTTAAAATATACATGTTTGGCCAAGCATGGTGGCTCACACCTGAATTTGAGCACTTAGGGAGGCCGAGGCGGGTGGATCATGAGGTCAGGAGTTCGAGCCCAGCCTGGGCAATATGGTGAAACCCCGTCTCTACTAAAAATACAAAAATTAGCTGGGCATGGTGGTGTGTGCGTGTAATCCCAGCTACTCAGGAGGCTGAGGCAGAAAAATCGCTTGAACCCAGGAGGTGGAGGCTGCAGTGAGCCAAGATCACACCACTGCACTCCAGCCTGAACGATAGAGCTAGACTCTGTCTCAAAAGAAAAAAAAAAAAGATACACACATTTGCAGCCCCTTGGCTGCCTCTGCTGGGGCGCTGCTCATCATGTCTCATCCCTGGTCCCATCTGGCTTTCTGAGTTGTGCTGCTGCTGCTTGCCTCTGGAGAACTGGAGTCTTGGTCAATTACCTTTTGAAACAGAAGGAAAGACATGATATAGCGGTCCAGATACAGATCGGTGGGCAGGCAAGTGAGGAGAGCATGTGGACGTTCTCTTCTGATCACCTGTGCTTTCTCAGTTAAACAGAAAGCAAGATCATCAGGGAATGATTCATCCAGGGAAGTCTCCCCTCTGTGTTCAGGGTTAAGGCCAAATCTCTGTCACCGCATGCCATGTCCTGCATGGCTGGCCCTGCCCAGCTCACCCCCTGCTGCTTCTCTGTAATGCGCTGCACGGGACACTTCGGGGCACGTCTTTCAGTCCCTAAGTGTACGTCCTGGCCTCCAGGCTTCTGTGCCTGCCCTCGTGCGGTTCCTTCTGTCAGGCTTACCCCACCCTTGTCTGACAAGTGAACTTTATCCATACCACAGGGCCAGTCTGGTGGGTTACCTCAAGGGGCAAGTTTCCATGAATACCCTGGATGGAGCTAGCTGTTTTCCCTTTGGTCCCTGGTACAGTTTGAATGTCTGTCCCCTCCAAATCTCATGTTGAAATGTGATCCCCGGTGTGGGAAGTGGGGGCTGGTGGGAAGTGTTGGGTCATGGGAGTGAATCTTTCATGGGAGCTTTTCCCAGAGCAATGAGTGAGCTCTTGCTCTGTTCGTTCACTCAAGAGCTGTTGTTTAAGGGAGACGGACACCTCCTCTCCCTCTTGCTTTCTCTTTTTTGCTCCCTGTCTCAACATGTGACACGTGGCTACCTTCCCTTCCACCATAACTGAAAGCTTTCTGGGGCTTTATCAGAAGCCGAGCAGATGCTGATATCATGGTCATGCTTATACAGCTTGCGGAACCGTGAGCCAAATCATCTTTTCTTTATAACTCCCAGTCTCTGGCGTTCCTTTATAGCAATGCAAAACTGTCTAACACAGGGTGCCTTATGGCACCCCATCCACATGCCTCTGTGACCACGCATACAACGATTTATTTGAGACCTTTATTTATGACTTACCCTCTCCCCCAGGGTAGGGACCTGTCCTGACTCATTATAAAATCACCAGTGTCTAACAGAGTGTCTTGTGCATAGTAAATGCTCAATGCATATTTGTTTGAAGGTGAAAATGAATGAATGGACAGGATTTGTGCTTTTATCTAGGTCTTTGGCTAGCCACTGATTGTAGAGATACGAAATGGAGCCATTTGAAAAAAGTGAATTGTAAATCAACAAAGATAACATGAAGTAACAGCAATTTAACTAATGTTTTAAAGTTAAGTTGCTAATTTCGCTCTCAAGGTTTAGCAATGCTGTGTAAGCCTAAGTCATCACTTTCTCTCTCTCATTTCCAAAGTGGAACTTCCGAATCAAAGGATGCTGACCATTTACAAAATTTGTTTTCAGAAATAGTAGAGTACGTAGAGTCTTCATCAGGAAGGCTCAATAATCACTGGAAATAATAGCAGAGAGTCCGACAGCAATGTTTTGCAACACATTAATAAATAATCAAAACACAAGAAACCATCATTTAGACATTGGGATGTGCAGACCAATTTGGTTGAAAGAGTTTGCATCATCAATTCAGGCAAGAGCTGTGACCCAGGAAGGGATTACCAGTCTTGCTGTACTTAAAATTCTGTGCTTTGCTGTAAGTCTGCATTTCACTTGTGCCACTAGATACCTGTTGCAACTCTGTTTCACGTTGGGTCGTCCCCGCGCTGGGAAGAGGAGCATTCAGGCAGCTCATAGCTGACAGTGGACTTTGGTTAAATAGGAAGAATGCCTTTCTCTCTAAACTGTAATAAAGCCGTTTTACATGACATTCATCCTGATATTATCTTATTCGCTTCATGGACTGCAGAGTACTTACACATATGCTCAAGTCTTATAAAAATTGAATCTAGCAGCAGCTATAAATAATTAAACTTCTCCTAGCTGGGACTTGCCTGTATAAAGATGTTACAAATTCAAAGTCCGAACAGGGAGGGTAGAACAGTGGTTTATCGTTGCGAAACCTAACAAATCCCAGCCTCTGGCTTTGTGTTTTTACTTGTCTGGCTCATTGCTGAGTCCTGGGGTTGTTTGTGTCCGCAGAGCCCCACGGTGGGAGACACAGAGACACAGGAAACTGGAGGAACAATCTCAGTGGTGGTTTTTCATCACCGGATCCAAGCATGCGCAGGTTAGAGTGAGATTCTTCATAGCTAACTCCAGTTGCGATTTCAGGAAGGTCGCACACAATCTGAAGAAATGCATCCACTCAGTGTTAGTTTCAGAAAGCGCCACAGTGACATCAGTGGGGAAAAGGGGGGCTCTCTTAGGAGCCTGGCGCCTGCCGGTAGCAGCAGACACACCTCTTATCGCCTGTGCTTTAAAAAACGTAATCATCCATCGTTAGATAAACTCACTTTAAAATGTGAGCACAGTCGTTACCAGATCAGCCTCAAACGATTCACTTTTGTGACAGTATTTAATTATGATCTCAGCACAGGATAAAACTCCTGATGAAGTCTTTGTATATTGTCTTGTAAATTTGATTACCGATTCATGTAAAGCACTACTCATAAAAGTAGAGATTACATGAATAACGATTGCCTTGATAGTAAAATTGTTACGAGAGAGAGAAACAGTGTGTGTTTTCATTTCTGTTTTCCTTGGGTTTGACAAGGGTGCTTGACGCTGCGCGTGCAGGGTGTGGCAGTGAGGTCGGCTCCCTGGTGCGGCTGTCATCCGATGGAAACCAACTTTGAAATGACTAACAGCGTCCATGAAGATGGATTCATGGTAGGAATCCCATGCCACAGATGAGGCTGGGGGGTGTTGAGGAGGGTGTCACACCCACCTACCTGCATCAGGACCAGGATCTGTGTTTTCTGTGACCACAAGGCCGGAGGGGCTCTGGAGAACAGATACTTCAAAGGCAGATATTGTCTGCAGAAGACACACGCAGACAGGATGAAAACTGATTGTGGGGGAGAATTTGATCAAAGGGAAGGATGAGGAGAGTGAGCAGGGAGTGAGAAGAGGAAGGTACAGGAACAGGCTTGGGAGAAAAGGGAAGAAAAATTCAAGACAAATGTGAAATACTACGTCTAGGTTTTGTCTGGAGCCAACCTGCCTAATGGTAACCAGGCATTTTCTATGGTTGAGTGTGAAATTCCATTTTTGCAATTAGCCCCAGTGTTTTCAAAAGAGAGGCCCGCTACTCCAGACCTGGGGTGTGATATCTACCACGAAGGATGACTGACCCCTCTCGAAGGGGGCCTCTTATGAGCACATCGCTTAAGCCCCACGGGCACCTGGACCTGCCTGATGACTCATCCATCCAGGACAGCTGCTTTCTCGAATCTCTGCTTCAAAAATCGCCGGATATGGAGACTCCAAAATCTCACATCTCACTTCAGTGGTCGAGCTCGCTGAGAGGAATTTTTTCCTCCTTCGATGAACAACTGTTCCCACGTGTTTATTCCTCTGTGAGAAAGCTGTTCATCAGCGTTGTCTTAGGAAAAACTGTCTTATACCCGACATTGTTAAAAAGTTATTATGTAACCATCTTGCAGTCATTCCAGTCCCTTTGCATATTTCCCTAAAACGGAGAAAATGTATGTTAAATGAAATGCAGAGTGCTTGTCGGGGAGATAACATGTAAATGCATTTTGCATCTATTTCTCAACTTCGCCACTTACTGAGCACCTACTATGTATAATTAAGGCTGTTAATGGCAATGTCCTTCTCTGGAATCAGTTGATCACTAATGTGCTTTTGCACAAGTTTCTTTGTTTTTTGCTCTTGTCGTCCAGGCTGGAGTGCAGTGGCGTGATCTTGGCTCACTGCAACCTCCGCCTTCTGGGTTCAAGTGATTCTCCTGCCTCTGTCTCTCAAGTAGATGGGATTACAGGTACCTGCCACCACGCCAGGCTAATTTTTGTAGTTTTAGTAGATACAGCGTTTTATCATGTTGGCCAGGCTGGTCTCAAACTCCCGACCTCAGCTGATCCACCCACCTCAGCCTCCCAACGTGCTGGGATCACAGGTGTGAGCCACTGTGCCCGGCCTTGTACAAGTTTCTTAATCCTTCCAGATCTTTCCTAAAAGTGAAGTTGTAAAATGGTGATGATGATATTTAAGATCATAAGGATGGAATCTTTGAAATACGTAGAACGCCAACTACATACTAGATAGATGCTTAATAAATTTTAAATTTTGGCCGGGCACAGTGGCTCATGCCTGGAATACCAACAGTTTTGGAGGCCCAGCAGGGAGGATTGCTTGAGCCCAGGAGTTCAAGATCAGCCTGGGCAACATAGTTAATTTTGAAATTTTCATATAATGGCCTTATTTAGAATTAGTAGCAAAAGTATGAATGAATTGTTCAATAATTGGGTTTGGAACAATGGGATCATCTATTTTTAAAGTTAGATTGTTATCCACAATGGCTCTAGGTCTTCCATAAAAGGGAAACTGTAAAATGGTGATGATGATATTTAAATGATGATCATGAGAATGGAATCTTTGAAACACCTAGAATGTCAACTACATATTAGATGCTTAATACATTTTAAATTTTGGCCAGGCACAGTGGCTCATGCCTGTAATCCCAGCACTTTGGAGGCTGATTTTAATGTAAAACACAGAACTATAGGAGAACTAGGAAAATTTCAAGAAAAATATGTTATAGCCTTTGGGCCAAAGGGCCTTTCTTAGCATGACATCAAAACTAGAAATTGTGAGAAAAAATATTCTTATAGGAATAATTGTACAATTGTACAATGACAGTCATTCAAAGATGTCAGTTACCAAACAGTTTTAATGTTAATGACATATAAAATGGTTAGCATGTAGTTTTGCAATGGTAAGGATCATGCAAAAGCAGCATACAACACTGTTCCCTCCATATTCTATGCTATCATAATAATGTAAATTAAAATACCTACAGCTGCCGTGATGGCTTACAACCTGTAGTCCCAGCTGCTTGGGAGGCCGAGGAGGGAGGACTGCTTGAACCCTAGAGTTGGAGGCTGCCGTGAGTTATGATGGCACCACTGTATGTCAGCCTGGGTGACAGAGCAGAGTCCTGTCTCTGAAAAAAAAAATTAAGGAAGAAATTTTAAGTTTGAATTTGGGGACTATGCCAGGTATGAAAGCTCACAGAAAAAACAGGATTCAGACCTTGCTCTCCAGGAACATGGTGTCGAGCAGGGGCCGGGCCATACAGGAGGGATGTGGAAGAGCCTCCGGGGAAACGGAGCAGGGTTGGGCTTGCTTGGGTAAGATCTATCTGCGAAGGGCAGGGGTACAGGGGAAGGTGACATGAAAGCCTTAAAGGGGGACAGTTGCCACAGTTGTAAGAGGTGGCTGTTGAAAGTCTCATCTAAGAAGGGGCAGGCCAGGCAGTGGCCTCTTGTGACTGTGGATTCCATTAAAGCCTGAGAGCTACCTGTTGACCAGCTGAGGCCCAAGCGTGTTCAACAGCATAACGCTCTCCTGGAGCCTGGTCTGGGCAGGAGGGCAGCAGGAAGCAAAGTCCGTGGCTGAGGGTGTCTCAGCCCAGGGTGCGGGGCCCTCGGCTTCTGGCAGGTACCTCTCCAGGGCTGTGCCTGGGGTTGCCCTTGAGGTCATGGGAAGACTCATTTGGAAGTAAACTCCTGGGTGGCTGAATGCTTGCCGTTCTCAGATTCGTGTAGATTGGACAGCAGCCCGTCCTGGTGGAGGGAGCGGAGCCTGACCCCCAGACTGTCTGTTTCCAGCCTCCTCTAATGCTGTCAAAGCCCCAGCCTGGGCTGGCAGCGTTTCAGGGAGGCTTGTGTATCCAGCACTCTGCAGCAACTCTGGTTCCCATGAAGGTGAGTTTCACAGGGACATCGACAGAGTAAAAATCCTTGAGACACTAAACTGAGATTCAGCGGGAGAAAGCCCCGAACAGCGGACCTGACTGGACAGGAAAAACAACAGATCCCTCAGAGATCAACCCCCTTGGACAGATCCCTGCTCCAAGGGCCGAGGCAGGTCAGTCGTGCAAAGGACAAGGCCGGTGGCTCCCCGGGCTTGGCTCTGCCTCTGAGCGCCGTCAGTGTGTGCGTGACACCCAGCACGATCAGTGAGTTTGAATGGGTCCGTGCCACTGAGACTCCTAATCTGTTTTGGAGAAGGAAATGCAGTTGACGTAATTTCTGTCATGGGCTGTGTGCCCCGTGCTCTCACGTTACCATGACTCACCTTGCAGGAAGCTGATGTGTAGCGGTAGGTTGTGCGGGACAGGGGAACAATGGCATTGTGAACGGTGACAGGAGGAGAGAGTTTGCCAGATGCACGGGCCTGATTTCCACGTCTGCCAGGCATCGGGTGGCCTCCTTCAAATCCCAGAGTCTTGTTCATGTCACCACAGAGCGTCAGCCAAGGCAAACACCACTTTCTTCACTAAGCTGCAATATGGTTTTTACAATAACATAATAATCACTGCTCTTTCCTGAGAACTTCCTCAAAGCCCTGCGTGGGCATCATCTTCAGTGTCCATCAGACCTGAAAGGGTGATCACCCTCGTTTTGTAGATGAGGAAACTGACTTGTTTGCGTTTGCACAAGCTTGGAAAAAGGTTTGAACACCGGGGAGTCCAACAGAGCTCTTTTGTTTTTGCCCACCATATTATGCTTTACGGAGTTCTAAAAGTTTGAGATCAATTATGAGTCTATTCCAGCCTTTGTTTTCTTAGAATGGGAGTTCTCAAGAGGCACTTGGGTCACACAGTGACTGTGCTGGGAACCCCAGCCACCTCCAGTGGCTCCCTTCACCCAAAGCTGTCATCTTCTTGTTACTTTCCAGTCATTTGTCCTGAAATCTCATCAGAGGTGGAGCAGTTCCTACCCCATTTCCATACTCTTTACGTTTCTCTCTTTAGAGACAGAGTTTTACTCTGTCATTCAGGCTGGAGCCCAGTGATGCAATCACAGCCCACTGCAGCCTCGAACTCCTGGGCTCAAGTGATCCTCCTCCCTCAGTCTCCTGAGTAGCTGGGACTACAGGCGCTTGCCACCATGCCTGGCTTATTTTTGCCTTTTTGGTAAAAATGGGATCTCACTATGTTGTCCAGGCTGATCTCAATCTTCCAGCCCCAAGAGATCCCCTTGCTTCGGCCTCCCAAAGTGCTGGGATTACAGACATGAATCATCTCGCCCGGCCTCTATTTTCATGTTCTTTAACTGCACGTTTCCCTGAGCTAGCCTCAGATTCTGCTGTCTTTCTTACTGATTGCACAGATTTTGAATGACGACTCTCTCTTCTGCACATTTGCCTCCTCCAGACTGAGCTTGCTGCAGAAGGAAAATTTCAAAATAATCCTCCAGCGTGATTGTGGCCTCAAGGAGCAGAGCAGCGGTGGGAACAGTTTAATTCCTAATAAAGTCCATACCTCTAAGTCGCTGCGTGCATGCCGTGGAAACGTGGAGAAGTTGCTAGAACTCCTCCATGTCTGGAGAGCTCTTGGCTCTCTGGGTCTGTGTGACAATGTTTGTTCTCTCTGCTGTCACTTTGCACTTCCTGAGTCTCTTTGGATGGCACTTCATGATTTCTCCCTGCAGCAATGATGGAAGTATGTCAGCTGTCACAGGCTCTGGCAGCAGAAGGCAGCTGAGAATAAAGTGGCTTCATGGTAAAGCAGGTGACCCCTTACCATACCCTGCTTGCTACCCATATTTGTCTCGACAGTGTTTAAAGTAGATAAAATATATATTTTTTGAATCAGGTAACTATTTTCAATAGAAGCTGGATACTTCTGTTACTGATTGAACCTGATAACTTATCATTCTTTAGGAGAAAGTATCATCACTTATTCTGGGTTGGTTAAGATAGAAAGGAGTTTCCCTCTCTTTTCCAAACTAAACGCTCCAATCACACATTGTACAGGTACATTTGTCAAATGAAACTTCCTGAAATTATAGAACTGACTAAATATGTTAAATAACGGAGGGCAGAAATGCAGACGTTCACATATGTGCACTTTTGTGAATTTCCATCACTGTGTGAAATGTGTGTTTGTTAGATACTGTACTCCAGTGAGCATTGACGTGGCTTGTGGGTGACTTAAGTTTACAGTCAGAATCAGAATGTTGTTGTTGGCCTTGATCTTAGTTTCACGTTGCCAGTGTTTCCCACCCCTTGACTTTCTTATTTTAAAAAAGAAACTAAATCAAAATTATTCCCACAAAATTGCCCCATGTATATTTTAAATATTTTTAACTTTATCTGAGTTAAATGATGGAGGGACTGTTTTACTCCTCAAAGCTGAGACTGTGCACCTAAAGACCAGTTTACATTTATGAATGCACAAATCAATTGTTTTATCTCACTTCTAGCTAAAAGTCTTCAATGTTTCAAACTTAGTAAATTGATGAGGATGAAAGTGGCCTTAGACTTTGCACCTCCTCATTTACAGAAGAAGAGACGGAGGTCCAAGTGGACCAAGTTGCCTGAGATCAAATAGCTAATTAGTAGATGAACTAGAACTAGGACCTGGATCCCTGCCCTACAAATGAGCCATCTGTCTGCCTACTGCTAAATATATTCAGGCTGTGATCATTTTGGGTGAGATGATGCTGGCTTTTTTGTCTTAATTTGTTTTTATTTTTGATTTTGAAATTCAAGAATATCTCAAATTGCTGGCCCATTAAATCTTGTATCCTTTTGCTGCTTAAAGGCAACAGGAGATGCCCAGTGCTGGGTTTCGTGGGAACCAGAGGATTTATGGCTTTGCCTGGGCTCCACGTATCAGCAGGAGCCCAGTGAGGCCAGCGGCTATATTCCAAACGGTTTTCAGGAAGTCTCCTTCAGCCGAGACCACCCTGGCAAAACTTCCTCAGGATGTAACCAAGTGAGACGTTGACTCAGGAAGCCCAAGGTGGCATCTAAGAATTCCAGCACTTCAAGGAGGCCAGGCATGGTGGCTCACGCTTGTCATCCTAGCACTTTGGAGGGCCTAGGTGGGTGGATCACCTGAGGTCAGGAGTTTGAGACCAGCCTGGCCCACATAGTAAACCCCATCTCTACAAAAAAAAAAAAAATCAGCTAGGCGTGGTGGCAGGCACCTGTAACCCCAGCCACTTGGGAGGCTGAGGCAGAAGAATTGCTTGAACCCGGGAGGCGGAGGTTGGAGTGAGCTGATATCGTGCCGCTGCACTCCAGCCTGAACAATAAGAGCGAAACTTTGTCTTAAGAAAAACAAAAACAAAAACCTCCAAGGAGCATGTGTGTGCTTTTGCTCTAGAAAACTTGTGATTCCTGGGGAGAAACTGATCACACACACACCCAGTATTGTAAAGTGATTCAAAGTCGCACAGGTGAGAGGTGAGTTCTGAGTCTCCCTGGACGCAGGGTCACTGACTAATTGGTTATATCCCAAGACGGTGATTGGCTATTTTACAAGCAGACAAAGTCACCGTGCTTTAAAAGGCAGGGCCACCTGAGCCACCCTCTTTTTACATTTATAAATGCACAAATGCACAGTTGGAAGTGGCCAGGCTCCGCCCCTCCTCTCACTTCTCAAGTGTAGGCTTGAGGTCTAGGAATGCTGCTGGCCGATGTGGTCTGTCCCTGTCAAGACTGGGATTTGGAAGGAAAAGGAAAGACCCTGTTTGAAGCCTGAGCCTAAGTTGAGAGCTCCAACCTTAGGTTGCAGAGACGCCTAGCCTGTGGTGTGGGTTCCAAGCCCAGATGGCAAGAAAGGAGCCCCCTGTCTTCCCATGGGCTGGAGTTCCTTGTGAGAGCGCTTCCTTGGAAATTTTGTCATTACATTGACAGGGCAGAATTTCAGCATGTCTTACCCTTGGCCCTAATATCCACCCCGCAGATGACCCCCAGCATCAGGAATCATTAAGAAGGCGGTGGTACAGTTGAGACAATCAGAAGGCTGTTAGTTTGAGAACCGTCACATGGAACAGATGGAATTCCGGGAAAAGTGTCTTCAGCTAAGGCAGGAGAAAAACACCAAGAACTTTCTGGGGTAATTTCTCAACAGGGGGATGCTGTGTTCCCCTAGACAGCTGTATCAACACATGGGGACTGGGAATCCGGTGGTGAATTGGTGTGGTTCGGTTGGGGCAGAAATGCCATGGGGCCCGATACAGCTATATGTCATGGGAAATGGTCCCGGAGACAGCCACCAGCCGGATGTAGAATGAGTCTGTTTAAGTAAAGAGTGCAGGACTGCAGCCAGAAGGAGAGAGCAAGACCTGAAAGAGTTGAGGGAACTGTGATGTCCTGCCTGGCACCAGCACCCCCGATGACACTGGCAACTGCTTTCTCTCAGGCACCCTGGACAGGTGGAAGCCGAGGTAAGCTGCGTAACTGATGCCTTCAGGCTTCCAGGAAGGGCCTGCTTTGGGAAGAGGGAATATGTTAATGCAGTTCCCTGAATGAAGCAGGGAATTCTGAACACATCTGCAGGCCAGTGAAGGAAAGGCCCTTTCCCACGTCATGGTTCCACGTGCTCTCCACCATAAACTCTGAAGAATTCAAGCTGACACATCATGTGAAATTCAGGGTGAAAAAAACCCTGTTGAAATGGGTAGTGGAATGCAGAACATGTAGCTGGACCTTTAACTCTGCATCCATGCAAAGGCCTGTAAGTAGAATATGCAAGGGTAACATCGTGGAGTTTTTCAAAAGCAACTTTATAGTTGATCTATTTATCTTGTCAGTGGGATGAGGGGACAGGCAGAAGAATGGGAAAGAGTGAGAGCAGAGAAAGAGAAGAGTGAAGAGTGACGGGGAAGAGAAGGGCTTTTCTAACAACTCCTTGCCACAAAACGATGAGTGATGGTGAGTGGTCTAATCAGGTCATTAAGTGGATGAAATAACATGGCCAAGGTAAACGTATGTAAACTGTTTCTTATTTGAATTTTGTTGGATACTTGGATCATCTGCTTAATAAAAAACCTCATCCACTCTTCAATATTGACGGAAATCTTCTCCCCTGAACAAAGGCTTTCTCTATGCATTGCAACTGGGACATTTCTTAAAGTTCTTTATACATTTTTGACCATATTATTTAGTTGAAACTAATTGCATGGTGCTCGAGTTCACGTAATTATTTCCATGGGTCCCTGAGTCTCATGTCTCCCCAAAGACGTTTTTCTTAGGGAGGAAGAAACCAAGCTACAAACGTTTTTCTCCTGTGCTTCCCACACTGTGTTCTGTGCAGTAGATGCTGCTGAACATTTGCCAGGAGTCTGATATTTGAAAAGTCTGGCTCCTTTTCAAGGCTATGCAATTTAATGATACTGACAAAATGAAAAATTTCTGGATCCCAATTAAGTATTTCATTGTCCTGACTTCATTTATCATAATGGGAAATTAACTTATTGTCTAATATCTCATTTTCTTCTCTTAATATGGATAACAAACTAACCCATGCAAATGTTTTGAAGAATAATGAATAAATAAAATTTGCAAGCAAATGTAAGTATAAAGATTATCTAAATGCGGGTAATATTCATGGAGATGAATAAAATAAACCAGCTAGTAACGATGTGGAAGTGATGAGACTGAAAGTTGCACTTTTCAGTTCTTTACATGTATACATTGTTTGCAAACCAGGTTTTTAGTGACTAAACACAAAATGATCTGGACAAAATACATGAGACTTCATGAATGATTCTGAGTTGGAAGAGAAATTTTTAAAAATTCTGAGGATGTATGATGGGATTCTCTAAGGCTCTTTCTCTCTTAGTCACCTGAACTCTGTTTATAGTGTAGACATTAACTTTGTGTATGAATTTAATGAATCAATTTTTGATTAAATAAACATGTGCATGGTAAAGAAATTCCATGAGACTGAATAATTCTTCCACTCCTGTCTTCCAGTTTCCTGGTTCTCTTCCTTAGAGAAAACTATGTTTCTTGAATTTTCTTCAGAGGTATTCTCTGTAGATACAAACATATTTCTAAATATGCCTTTCATTTTTATAGCACGAATGTTGGTGTTTTAAGCAAGGATTCTACACTTTGCTGTTTTACTTACCAATGTGTCTGGAGATTATTTCATGCATATATATCAATCCACTCTTTCTTTATAACACCAGAGTCTATGTTATAGATATAACACACTTGTCCAGGTAAATAACTTCTCAGCTTAGCCTTTTCAAGGTTGTTACATAATAATGATATTTTTAATGGATTTGTCCTTTTCAGAGCAGGTCTGGGCTTTTGATGTGCTAATATGGATTATTGCTGGAAATCTATGACTACATTCCCTGGAGTCTCATTCACATTCAAGTCTGTATTATAACATTCACAATTATAGGCATTGGACCCTTCACCATCTTGCTTTAATTTACATTTGTTGTAATTCTGGACTTCATACCACTGTTAGCCTTGAACTTTCATTTTGAAGCTCTTCTATAGGAGAGCTAGACAGGGATATATTTTTTTAATTTTTATTTTTTAAATAGAGATGGGGTTTCACCATCTTGGCCAGGCTGGTCTTGAACTCCTGACCTCAAGATCCACCCATCTTGTCCTCCCAAAGTGCTGGGATTATAGGCGTGAACCACCGCACCCGGCAACAGGGATATTTCTTGTTTAATATCCTGGGCAATGTTCTCCAGTAGCAATGAACAAAAGAGTTGATGGAAGCTAAGTATTTTGAGCACTTGGACATCTGAATATATCTTTAGTCTGTTCTCACAATTGATGTAACAATGTGACTAGTTATAGGTATCTAGGTTAAAAAGATTTTCTCCATAATATATTGGGCCTCAGTCTGGCAGCTTACAATGTTTGTTATTTCTATTGAGAATTCTGATTCTTTTTCTTTGCATGTAACCTCATGTTTCGATCTAGATCTTTAGGTCTATTGTTTAGGTATCTCCATCTTTGGATTTCTGATCTGTTACTATGTGTACCTTTTTTCTTTGGTTGTGACAGACATTTCTTTAGTTCTTTCAATTTAGTGAATTGCATGCTTTGGTTCTGAAAATTTTCTTGTACTATTTCTTTGATACTTTCATTCCATCTCTCTGTCCTCTGTTTACTTTTTCTGGAATTCACATTTTCTAGGGTACTGGGTCACCTGGGTTCATCCTTTACTGCCTTATTTTTTCTCATATATTTCACTTCTTTTTATGGAATGTCAGTTCTATGAGGGCAGACATTTCTTTCAGTTTTGTTCACTTTGTATTCCCACCACCTGAAACAGTACCTGGGACATGGCAGTTTTGCAGTCAATATTTATTGAATATTCATTTTCTGTTCTTTGTGTGTAGATTTCCTCTATCCTGTATCCCACCCATATTTTGGATTTTTAAAATGTCTTCTATATTTCCACTTTTCAAGAAATCGTTGTTTTCTGATTTTTCTTTTACTGTAACATCTTGCTCTTGTTTTATGGATGCAATAGAATGCGTTGTGTTTCTTCTTTTAGCTCCTGCATTATTGTGGTATCTTTTGACTTCATTTTTCTTTATTTTGGGCTCATATATATATATTTTTTCTTGATATCCTCTGTGAACTTGGATGGGGATTACCAACTGGAAAAATTCATTTTGGGGTAAGTGGAGGGGAGCTGGCTGTTTTGTGGGAGGAATTCCATGGATGGGAATATGGAGGTCTTTCTCTGCAGCTAGTCAGTTTCTGCAGAAATGTCTGGGCAACCAGGATGCTGTCTTTGCCAAGGACCAAGGATATAACCATGGTAAGTGCACATTTTGAATAAACACCCGTGTGTAGTCTCATGATTCACCTTCACTTTCTGCTAAGGCTGAGGCTTCCAGATCCCTAGCTTCTCTCATTTAAGTTTTCCATAAGAAAATAAAAACAAAACACACCATTTCTTACTTGGGTGGGATGGGGTGGATTGGGCATTTGAATGTCAGTGTTCTGGGTGGAGAGTGAAGGATGGGCCCCAGCACAGCTGTGCTGCCTGTGTCTGCTGCCACAGTTCCCAAGTCCATGTTGTATTCTGCTGAACAAGATAGCTCTTTTCTAAATGGCCTGCTAACTGCATGCCTGTTAGTTTTGGCTCCCACTGGTCTCCACCGGCAGGCATTTCACGGAGGCAGGTTTTCTTGTTGTGTCCAGTGTATAATCTACATTTTGCTGAAATTTCACACCCACTAATGCCCCCTCTCCTGCTTTAGTTTAAATGGTACCGTACCATTTTCATTCTCTCATTTGCATTTTAGTGGAATTTGCAGAAGGTGAAGACACAAGCTCTGAAGGCTGTGCATTGTCTCCCATCCAAGTACTAACCAGGCCTGACTCTGCTTAGCTTCCGAGGTCAGATGAGATCGGGCGCGTTCAGGGTGGTATGGCCGTGGCTGTGCATGGCCTCTATCCTTCAGAAACCTCCATGCTGTCTTTTAAACTTTAAGTCAGAACATGTAAGAGCACCCAGCTGAGGCTGATGGCTACATAGAAGGCTTTGTTTGCCCCTGATAGGGGGAGGTACAAGAAACACCAGTCCTTTCTTAGGGCTCACAGGTACTCAGGGCTTATTGCATTTGAACACTGATCTGCAGTCTAACAGAAAATGAATGTAGAATGTTTACTAACAGCTGGCTTAAAGAGGGGTCGAAGTGGCAGGACAGGTGAAGGATGTCAGAGTTGGGTACTACATGTTTGGCTGAGGATAACTCATTATTATTTACAAAAATAAGTATTTAGTAGACAAGAAAACTCTGAAATAGCAGATTTTAAATAATTATTAATTTTATTATATTTATTTTATTCTTCTTTCTCAATGAAAATAACAAATATAAGAAACCTTTAAAAACTACAAATAGGTAACAGCATAAAAACCAATCACAATCTTACTACCCAGAGATAACTACTGATATTTCTGCATCGTTTCTTCTTGTAGGTATTCTAATTTACATTCTCAAAATGACGTAAAATACGGAGTAAACAGTTTTTTAGGCTGCTATAAAAAAATCATTGAAAACTATATGCTAAGCATTTTACCTATCATTGACATGAAATCTATTTGGCAACTGACATGAAATTATACGAATGTAACAGTTGTACGATTATTCCTATAAGAATATTTTTTTCTCATGACTTCTAGCTTTGATGCCATGCTAAGAAAGGCCCTTTGCACCCAAACGCCATAATGCATTCCTCTTAAAATTTTTTGTAGTACTCCTTTAATTTTGTGTTTTACATTAAAATCTTTATTTTGAATTTATTTGGTATTTTGTGGCTAATAATGTACCTTCGAAAATATGATTATCCCATTGTTCCGAACATAATTATTGAGCAATTAATTCCTCCTTTTGCCACTAATTCTAAATAAGGCTATTTATCCTACCAAAATTTCAAAATTAACTGTGTTTGGACTTTCTATTCTACTTCATGTACCACACCCATCATAAATCTAAAACGTTTGAGGTATTCTGAAACGATGTCACGCTGTTTTATCTACTTATTTATTTATTTCCTGAGAGATGGGGTCTTCCTCTGTCACCCAGGCTGGAGTGCAGTGGCATGATCATAGCTCACTGCAGTCTTGGACTCCAGGGCTCAAGCAATTCTCCTACCTCAGCCTCCCAGAGTGCTAGGCTTGTATGCATAAGCCACCACACTCAGCCCTTACGCTGTGTTAATTTGTAGCAGTAATTTGCACGTTTCTTTAATGTTTCAGAAAGCCTTCATTTTTTTTTCCCAGAAATTTTTTTGGCTAGTTATTTTACTAGATGAATTTTATAATCACTTAAAATCAAAACAACAGTTATAACACAATTTGGGAACTCTGATCAGTACCCTGGTTTTATTTTGGCTGTATTACTTACCCTCATCCATTGATTTCTGGCAAAAAAAGTAGCATTCAGAGCTTGTTTCTACGTAGGTGAAATGAAGATGGTAAGGCGATAATGGCATCTATCTGTTGAAAGGCTGCTCTTCCCAAAGTGTTTGCAGCTCAAACAAGCATGTGCTTTGAGAACCATAAACTGCTCTGTGCCTGCAGATATCACGTAACATTTATTTTAATATGCAGACTTGGACAGAAGAGATACATTTAAAATATTAATCTTTTTGTGTGGAAACAGATCTCCTCTTCATTGTTCTTTGGTTGAATTTCAGATCTTTCCGTAAAGGTTGAACAACATTTTCAGGTAGGTCTTGAACACTTTTTTGGTCTTTGCACACTGGAGTTTAAAAGTGAAGACTGTTGGCATGGTAGCTCACGCCTATAATCCCAGCACTTTTGGGAGGCCATGCGGGTGGATCATCTGAAGTCAGGACGTCGAGACCAGCTGGGCCAACATGGTGAAAACCCGTTTCTACTAAAAATACAAAAATTAGTCGGGCATGGTGGCAGGTGCCCATAATCCCAGCCACTCAGAAGGCTGGGGCGGGAGGTTGAAGTGAGCCGAGAGCATGCCGCTGCATTCCAGTCTGGGCAACAGAGTCAGACTCCATCTCAGAAAAAAAAGATAAAAAGGAAGAGTGTTAATGTGAAACATTGCAGAGAAGCAGCAGGGTGAAGATTTCACAAGCGTTCCGGGATGGAGGGACTCCCTGCCTTTACTTGGGAGCAGGTAGCAATGTTGATAATCCAAGCTTCTGAAGTGCTGCAGCGGATGAGGCACCACTCTACCTCCTGGCATTTCCCGGAACACGGGGCTGGAGCATGCTTCAGGAGGCCTGGAGAGACCATGTCAGCACCATGCTGAGCAAGCTGTGGAGCAGGGCCAGGCTCAGAGGCCTTGACCTTACAGACTCGTGTAGAACCCCAGAATTATTCTGATAAAACATCTTTTTCATTCCGGCTGCGCTTTGGTAAAGAGAAAAAGGAATAGCATGGTAAACTGCCTTCGGAGGTATATGAGAGACTTGCTCTTGCCTACATAGGCAAAATGTTAAAACAGAGAAAAACGTGGTACTGACAAAATGAAAATCTCACTGTAGCTTTATTCAAGATCGCTGACTTGGAAATTGTAATCGGAAGATATTTCGTCAGTATCATGTTTAAAGGGGTGGAGTACAGTGGCTCACTCTTGTAATCCCAGCACTTTAGGAGGCCAAGGCAGGAGGATCACTTGAGCGTGGTCAACACAAAGAGACCCTGTTTCAAAAAAAAAAAAACCCCAAAATCCCCTAAAAGAAACCTAACAAATACAAAAGAAGAGGTAGAAGGAGGAGGAGGAGGAGGAGGAAGAAGGAAACAACATACCCTTAAGTAAACGTTTTATATCTTGTGAAGTAAAAATACCCGGTAAAGGTGGCACACAAAGTGATGGTACTTCAACTGGCTCCTGGTGAGTCGTTTTTAGAAGAGCTTAGCAAACCATTTCACTCCGCCAGTGTCGAGCAATCTGAAAATTCAGTCTATATATTTTTTTGAAATATCTTGGGAAAGTGAATGAAGCAGTGTAC